AACCATTTCGCCCTAGTTCTGTAGAAAGAAAAGGAAGAAAATAGAACCAATGTATGTTGCTATTGAGGATGTAGCAGTTTGGACCAGCAGAAGACATTTAGGTAGATCACAAGCTATTGGCAAATACCATGAAATCACCATTGCTGAGTGCAAACAATTATTCCCCTTGTTCCAGACTACAGAGTTGAACATGAAGATCATCTAGGAAAGTTACAAGCCTTATCCACATGCTAGTATTTGTGCTCCTCACTTCACCTGACCTTTGTTTCTCTCTCTCTTTGTTTAAATTGATCCAGTTTGTGTTAACATGGCTGGAGGTTATTTTCCATTACACTATTCTACAAGATGATGACTGCTTGCCAAAACAATTTTGAAGTAGAGTCACTTCTTATTAGCTCACTAATTCAGTGAGCAAATATCCCCATCACATCAGGAACAACTGATTCTTATTATTAGTAGTAATGTTTTTCTTCCAGTCTTTACCTGAAAACCCGAAAGTCTTCCATAATCACACAGTCCCTCACTATATTTATTATTCTAATACCATGGAGGTCTGTGTATGTAATCACACAGGGCCAATAAAACCCCTTCCATCATGCTTTCTTTTAAGTTCTCCACAAAGAGATTTTCAGACAAGCAGTTGTGGTTTTTACCCCTATCATTACTTACTTGTCACTTGACTTTTACTTGTGTTTCCACCCTTCGTGAACAATGCATGTCCTTGAATAATATGTTCCATTCATGATTGCCAATCTATGGCAGTCTGTAAGTTTCCCCCACTCTATGACCAGTATCAGGAGATGTAGTTCCTCTATTTTAGTGCTGATTCTTTGCATTAATAAAAAAACATCTTGGCCATATCTGCCTGACATTATTCCATTTCCTGGCTGGTCTCCAGTGTCACCTACCTTTCCATTACTTGCGTTAATATTACTATTTTCTCCTTACTACCGACCCGTGTACTAACTGATTTTGTTTTCATTTATCTGCGTTTCCATTTTCTTACGGAATGACATAAAAAGGTATTCTACCATGGCTGGACAAGTAAGACAGCTCTGCCCTAGGGCTGTCTATTCAATAGCAGGAAGTAGGGATCCATAACCCAGGAAGAACTTTACTGGACCATGTTCCCATGTCTTACAAAATAATGCAATGGCAACACTCATTTATTGGCTTCATTGCACTATAGCACTGGTGGGGGAATGGGAAACAGGAGAGAAAGAAAGAAGCTTATGTAAATAACACTCTAAGAATGAGGTCACATAATACTTTACAGAAAAGAGAAAAATAGTAAGAAAAAAATGTATTTATTCAGCTTTTGAATTCATTTCACTGGTCAGCTTCTACCTTCTTTACATACATAGGCAGTCTAAAACCAGAAATCAGCACGTGCACTGAAGCTTGGAGTAGAACAGGCTAGAGTTGAGATGAACAACAGCAATAAGCAGAGCTGAAGCATGCATAGTCCACACGATGCACTAGAGTGCAGAAGACCCTATGCTAGCACCAACTACTTCTGTCAGGCATCCAGGAAATAAGTCATTCAGACCTATTGACAGCACCAGTTTGCTCTGGCAAGGCTTTAGGGAACACTGATCCAAGTCAAATAAGCTAATGGAAGACGATACATGATAGAGCAAAGGACTGGTATAGGTCTGGGCTTCCAGCACTGTGAGAGAGCCCATGCCAGACAGCCAAACCATGAGGAAGATCCAGGATGTCTGCCCCTCAGAAGGCTTCCCTAGTGCTGGGATCCTAGGCCGAAGGCCAGTAGAGAAGATACAACCCCAACCTTGTTCTGATCAGTTGTTAAGCTTAGCTAGCCAGCTTTTAGGTGCCTTCCAGCTACTGGAATCCTGTCTTTGCTGGCTGTCCTGTCAATAGCAAGACTTTGCCATGCTGAGCTTTCCTTCTTCTCTGGAGCTCCTCTACCCTCTCACAGTCTGGTTTGCAAAATCCCTCCTAGTCACCTCAAGAAGGTATTGTCTCCTAACCCACTGCTACCGCCTCCTCTTATATCCACAGTCTCTCCCTGGCCACTTCTCCTTGTGGAAACCTATCTGTGCCTCCCTTTGCCATGCGCCAAGTATTTCCTTCCTCCAGCCCTCATGGGTAATGCCACCAGGGCATGTCAGCTCATCTGACCTCTGACAGGCCTGCACAGCCCGGGAAAATGAGGTTATGTGCCAGCCCTCACGTACAAAGAAGCTTTGCATGGACACCTTCCCCTGGGGTCCTCCTCCCCCTCCCACTCCCACTCCCAAGCGATGCTCGAGCCTCACCTGAGCTCCCTGGCAGGCTGGGCACCAGGGTCTCCTCCATCACCCCCAGACTGCTTCCCTGCAACCGTCCTGGGTCCAGCTCAGGGCAGACCACATCTTCCCGCTGCAGGTGTACAGAGTGGCTACATGCTGGTGGAGAGCAGGCCGGTTCAGACAGGCTGTCATGGCCAAGGGCCATGGCCCCATGGCAGGAAGACACTTGGGGACTGTTCCAGCTGCAGCCCCATTGGGGGCACTCAGGGCTGCTGGAAAAGAGAGTGGGCGAGGCCACACTAGGGGCTGGGCTGCATCCAGGTTCCTGAGGCACCTGGGGGAGCTGATGGCCTCACTGCTGGCAGGTGTGATTTGGCCCAAACCACCTGCAGTGCCAAGTTTGCCCTGCGGGGTTGGGCCCTGCTGCCAGCCCCTTTGGAAGCTGAGGACTTGTGCATTTCACCTTCATTTGCCCATGGGCTGAGAAGTCCCTTCCTTTCCCAAGGAAAGCACTAGGCACAAGGTTGCCTCACTGCCTAGGTCCCCATGTCTGGGGTAGGTCACCCTCCTCCTAAACATGGCCAGTCCAGACAGTGCAGAGAAGAACACAAGCACACTGCAAGCCTGCTCCAGGGTATACAGCTGGTGCTCCCCAGCTAAGACAGGGAGGATGGCTGCGCATCAGCCATAAAGGCACTGAGGGAGTTCTACCAAAGCACTGCAGACCCTGTCTGAGCATCTGAGGAAGAGCAGCTCCAGACCTGTGTCTTGGCTTCTTCCTTGGTCTCAGCGCTGAAGGGGCTTTCTTTGACACAAAGCATCTCCAAACACCAGCTTAGGCTAGTTTGTATAGCTGGCAGGGCGCCCTAGGCTACACCCACCCTGTGACGCAAAGCATCTGTGAGTACAATGCCTGAAAAATTATACTAGCACATTTATGGTTTAATGATATTTTGCTATTGCAGCAGGGAGAACGTAGGTGTGGTCAAAAGGCAGTGTTATGTTTGCAAAAGATCGCAATAGAGGATGTGGCCTTGAGAAATCTAAATATCTTGAGAGTTATATAAATGCCTATGTCTGGGCTCTCTCAGCGTCCCTGGCCAAATGCTGCTGGGCTAAGAGGAAACAGAACGGTATTAATCATTGCAGAATATTTGCACGCTAACAGACATCTCTGAGGGGACTCTGAAAGGAAAAGGGTCCATAAAGGAAGAGCAGTCTGGAAGGAACAGCTTTCTCTAAAAACAGGAACTGTTCATTAGTAATGGGAATTAAAGCCACAGAACCCAAGATATGTGGAGAAGAGTTCAAGGAGACAGATGAAACTTGACAGCTGTAGAAGATGCAAGACAGCATAAAAATGCAGCTGTCATGCTGTAAAGGTCTTCTGGCCCAACAGACGCCTCACACACCACCCTACTTATTATTTGTCAATGTTTTGTCTTAAGCACTCAGGTTATTTGGCTCTATTTGGAGGTCTAATGGCACGAAATCACTGAAGCCATCTACCATTCACCCATAGCCCCAGCTTCTCTCTCTTTTTGTTCTGGAATTGCTTTCTTTGAAGGGAAAGGATGTAGCATGGATGTTTCCATGGAATGAACAGACACCAGTTCCTTATTACTTTATGGAGCTGATGTATTCAGCAATCAGGAACCTTGGCACTGCTGACACATCACGACTGATATGCTGACCCTGTACAGTATGAGTGTTTCATGGGGTGCCACCCCCTTCTTCACCGCTGCAGCAGGAAACGCCCGGCTGCCCCAGCCTTGAACGCTTAGGCACCCGCACCTGGCATGGCTGGCTCCGGTCCAGGGGGGCAGCACCTCCCCGCAGCAGTAGGCACCAGCATCCGCAGCTCCGTCTGGGGCTAGGGGCAGGCTGTGAGGGCCAACGGGCAGATGCAGACAGGGCTGTTCTGTGGGGCTGCCACAGCGAGCCTCCGGCATCAGCGGGACAGGAGTGGCCGGCTCCGGTCTGTGCCAGGCTTGCAGGGCCCATCCTGCCCCCAGGGCCTGGTGGGTGCCTTTGAGGGTCTGAGGCGCTCTCACCATGCCCCTGCTGGTGACAGGGCAGGCCCTGGACAGCCAGCTGCGAGGCAGAGGCAGGCCTGGGGCACTGCAGCACCATGGGCTGAGCAAGGGTGACCCACACAGTGGCCAAGTCAGACCTGGCACAACAGGAGCACAGTGCAGAGGTTGGCATGTCAGAATGTTTATTAATAAAAAAAGTCACAATAACTTACTCCCTTTGTCACACAAAGGGCTCGGTATAAAGAGCTCTGGCCTCCTAAGGTAACATAGGTAAGTGAGAGGTGGATACTTTTCTCTTGTCCTCCGAGACAGCGGCCTTCTCCTGTCCCCAAGGGGAAGTGCAGCCAGCACAGGAGCTACTGGCCACGTGGGGCCTGGGCCGTGGGGCCTGGGCCATGGGGCCTGACATAGGAGCAGCCATGTGCCCCTGCCTGCAGCTGGTTCGCAGGCAGCACAGACCAACACAGGGTGCAAATGCAGAGTATATGGAGACCACAGGCACTGGATGCCAGAGGGTGTGCAAGCTGCAGTGGAGGAGGAGAGAGAAGTGGCTGCTTCTTCCCATAGTGCTGAGGGGTCTGTGGAGCACAAGAAGTGAAGCAGCAGGACAGCGGCTGCTTGCAGGCAGAGGGGTGGGGCTGGCTGGAAGCAGCCCTGCCTGCTGCCTGACACAAGGTCTAGTCTGGCAGAGGCAGGAGGGCAGTTGGGGCTACTTGTCACACTCCAGATCCTGGGCACCCTCAGCACCCTGGTAGTGCATCTCACAGAACTCCTGAATGCGACTGCAGGCCTCCAAGATCATCTCCTCAGGCACAGTGATCACCACACGGAAGAAGTTTGGGTACTCAAAGCACTGAAATGAGAAAGGATGAAGCTGGCAGATTACCTGGGATAGTGCTGTAGTTTCAGAGCCCTGCCTTGGGGCCATGTCCCATGTCAGCAAGTGAAAACGGTCAGTGTAGGGCAGAGGGGAGGATAGCAGGGCTGGGCTCTTGCTCCCTTAAACTGTTTTTTCTGTTCCAAGCAAATCTCCCATTTCCATCTGTGTAGACACGATGCTGTGAGGGTGACAGGCCAAAGACTCTGTATGGACTATGCAGGACCCAGGGAATGGGCTGGAAGGAGCTAGGGAAGAGAGGGCTGGAGAGTATCTGTATTCAATGCTGGAAGTGGAGCTGGAAGGAGGTGGGCACAGGGCACACATATTCTCAGCCTGTAGTCCATCCCTGTGCCTACAGGCATGGGGGACTGGAAATGGGGTGAAGAAAGGAACATAGGTAGCAGTCCCAGGCCTCTGAGGGAGCGGCTTCAGCAAGGAGGTGTGGGGGTACATAGGGTTCAGGGATACAGCTCTGCTAACTTGAGAAATACAAAGCAAGCCTGGAGCTGGGAAGATCCTGGCAGCCTGACTGAGGGCTGTTAGTGAGCCAGAGACTGCCAGTCCCCATCCCTATGCACTGCACTTGGAGCTCACAGCCAGCACATACACACCATTACAGAACATGGACACTGCACACGCAACTCCCAACCTGTCCCCAGAGCTCAGGGCTGCAAACCCCTGTTGCTTCTCTCCCCATGCTGTGGCCCCACAGGTCCCTGGGGCTCTCAGTGTTAGGCTCACCGTGGCTGGCAAGCAGAACACAGACTGCTCCGAGATGAGTCGCTCAGTGAACTCCACATCATTTTCAAACTCAGGGAAATGCTCCATCTCAATCTCAACCTGCAGCAGAGGGATGTAACATGGCAACCAAGGGCACCAAAACTATCTGCAATGTCCCTGCTTACCCACATGGCCCAACAACTTCCCAGACAAATGCAGCTGTCTGCCCTCAATTTTTGCTCATGATTGGGGCTGACTGGAATGTAAGACACAAACAGAAATATACAAATGAAAATTTGGGCTTCTTTAAGAAGTATTCATTAACTACCTAAAGCTGGAATTTCAGTTAAGGACAACTTTAGTAAAAAAACTGATGGCAAAGATACAGTAACCAATTAGAAGTGAAAAGGAATAAATAAGATATTGGAAAAGAGCTTGGGAGAGAACTATAGTCAATATGTATTAATAATTCTGTCATGCAAGAAATCCATATGGAAAGAAAAAGACAAACTAATGTTTTGGTTTAGAAAAAAAAAAGATAGCAAGGTCTAAAATATCACGAACAAAATAAATCCTTGCAGGATGATATAATTGGTAAAATGACACAGAAATGCTGAAATGTTCAATCAATATTTCTTTTCTGTATTTGGAAAGGAGGAGGTTGTCCCTTTATCACAGGACAGTGATATCCTGGCCATTTGTTTATAACCAAAGATTATTTTAAACATCTCATGAAAATATTCTTAAACAAACCAGGTGAGAGATAATTTGCATTCAGAAGTTCTGAAAGTGCCAGTGGAAGAAAAATTTTACCAGATTATTTAATTTGAAATAAATGTTCAGATACAGCAGAAATGCAATAGATGTGAAAGAATCTTAGAGCTGTGCCTCTACACAAAGAGCATAAGCAGAATGACCTGCGTAGCTCTGGGTAAGATTGGAAACAGGGTCAACTGATAAAGACTTAACTATACAACATGAGTGAGACTGATATTGCAGTATTCTCCAGTTCTGGGTCCACATTTTTAAAAGCTGATGAAAAAATGGAGACAATATGAGACCAAAAAAAAGATTAAAAATGTGTTAAACTTAAGAGACTTAAATGTCTCAATTGAGCTTGTTGAGATGAAAAAGGAAATTTCACCACATCATAATAAGTTAAAAAAAAACAGGTATGGAAAAAGGCAGAAAAAGAGGCAACAGCACAGGCCACAGGCAGAAGACAGACATACTAGTAGGAAGAAGGCCACCTCTTCAACAGGAGGTATGATAATCTGACTTGTGGTGTAGGGGCTTCGCATTGCCAGCAGACTTCAAAACCACGTAAAACATTGTCTTGCAAAGTACAAGTCATTGAGTTCTCTGCAGGAGCAAGCGGGTGAAATGTACCAGCCTCTGCTATGTGAGAAGTGAACAACATATTCTGGCCTTCTAAAGTGACCAAAGTATGCGTCTACTGCACAGGGCAATGTGAAAATGCATGGTAACGGAGACCTGGTGCCAAGCACCAATCTGAAACCATTGACAAGCACTGGCAACAAGACCTAGTATGAGCGTTGAAGATCCGGAAACGGCATGTCACTCTCCTCGCTTACCATGAGGTACATGGCTCCAGCAGGCCGCACAGGCTGGAGGCCAGGGATAGCTGATAAGGCAGCATAACAAAGGTCAGCATTGGACTGAAAAGCAGAAAGGAGAAATTTCAAAACAGGAGAAATTCCAGGAAGCAGTTCAGCAAATGGAAGCCAAGCTCTGGACCAGGACTATAAACAGGTTTGCCCACTGCAAATAAAGAGACAACGAATGCAAACAGCATGGGTGATTATGGCCTTGAGTACAGCAGGTGTGACTGAGCTGAGCTCAGCAAGTCAGTGCCAAACATCCCATCCCCTGGGTCACCAGCTCCAGCTGCAGGGCTGGGCTGCCTGCAACTTATCACAGCCAGTATTTCTGCCCCAGTTACCATGTCTCCTGCTGGAATTGGAATCATTGGGCTCTCCTAGTCACAGACAGAACTGCACCTTGAAGCAGGGTAGGGGAGGGATGATGAGCTAGAGAGATATGACTCACTCCAAACAATCCATGAACAAACTGTGCTGACCTGTTACAGCCTGTTTACCTTGAGGATGCTGAGGGTGTTGTGGTAGAACTCAGGGGGTGTTTGGTGCAAGATACGTTCCAGTGCTCCTTGGACAATTGTACAGGGTCCTAGGATCCTTTGACTCAGTCTTAGAAGGCCATCCCTGATCTGAAAAAACATGGTGATATTTGCAGCTCAGACTGTTCTTCCCTGAAGTAAAAGGACAGCTCCAAGGCCTACTCTCTGTATTTCTACAGCTGTTCACCACCCTCTCTTCAGTGAGCATACAGAGTACTAAAGAACATTTGCTTGATTATATGCCGGGTATCTGCAGACTATTTACAGTGTCATTCTCTGTTCCTCAGTTGCAGATTGTAATGCCAACAGAGACAACCTTTGGAGCTTCCCACTCTGACTCAAACCAGGCTGGAATATAGCTAATACAAATAAAGCCAGAGCTGTTCCAAATACCACTTTACATTTCCCTTAGGTTTGAGCCCACAATCCACACTTTCAAAGCCAGGTAGGGACAACCAACATTAGCTCTTCTGCTCACTCAGTTGGTCCTCTCTTCTCCCTCTTCTTCTGCAGAAAGCCCTCTAGGTGGACAGGTCACTGCAGTAGATGGTTGTTCTTGTAACACAGCTGAACAAATAGCCAGATAAAGCACTGGCAGCACTGCAAGGTGCTTTGTACTTACTTTTAAGAGAAACCATATAAGAGCACATAGAGACCACACATGGACTCCACAGGCTGGATAAGCCATGCAATACCTTCAGTGCACACTGGAGCTATTTGGGAAGAGAAGGAATTAGAAGCACACAAAAAGGACAAGGCATATATGAAGGAGCAGCAGAGACAAGGAGCGTGTTACAGTGTAGATGTGGGTAGAAGCCCATGTATGGGAGCAGATGGAGTAAGGAAGGGACATGAAAAGCCTAAAGGTGCAGAAAAGCATGTAAGCAATTGGGTGACACCCATGTGAGAGCAAAAGAGCAGTACATGCCTGTATCAGTTAAAGCCCTGGTGATCCACACGCTGAAGACACTGCAGGTCTGTTGCCGTGACAGTGACACTCAGCAGTTCTCACCTCATTACCAAAGATGTCTCTCCTGTCATGAATTAGGATCCAGCCCATCCGCCAGCCAGGGACTAGCCACCGCTTTGCCAAGCCACCACAGGACAAGATTGGTACGCTGGTGCTGAGAGTTGCAATGGGTTCATATTTGCAGTCAGCAAACACCTGTGACAGGAGGCCGTGTTAGGGCTGTCCCTGCCTCTTATTGTGAGAACTGTGGGGGTGTGCATGAGGCACAACAAGAAGAGAGGTAGGGAAGTGATGGGAAATTGATGGTGAAAGCTCCCAGCTTCAACGTATGAACATGGTAAGTGCACTCACATGAAAGTGAGCCGTTCAGGAAGAGGAAAGGAGCTACCATGAGAGGTACCCCCAGGACTGCACACCAGAGGACTGGAAGCTCGAGGCATGGACCCAGGCACAGTATAGGGGAGTGGACTGTCGCTCACCTCTGGAGACCTGGCTGCCATGGCCAAAGGGCAAGTGCATCAGAAAGGACAGGCAGCATGGGGGTGCAAAGGACTGCAACTGACACTCACCATGTCTCCATAGATCTCGTCAGCAAGGATGGGTATGCACTGTCTTGATGCCACTGTGGGAGAGAGGGCATTCAGCCTGGCCACCCTGCATCCTCCATGGGAGCAGACTTGCCCTTTGCTGCAGGGCCTGGCAGGACTCTGAGAAAAGCTCTGTCTCCTGCCTCCTACAGACGGTTCATTCGGAGAGCCCAAGCACTGGAGACCCCTACCCTGGCTGAGCCTAGTTCTGCTCTCACCTGTGGGGGCAGGCAGCACAGTCCTCCCACTGACAGGCCAGGGCTCAGGAAGCGTAGGGCTCCCTGTGAACACTCTCCCTCTGCAGAGCCAGAGTGGAGAATGAGCAGTCCAAGCCATATTGAGCGTTTGAGGAAGAGCAAGACACACGCTCTGCATGTTCTTGCGCAGATAAGGCAACACTTTCACACTGACCAAGCCCTGCTTCCTGAGCTGGAGTCAGTCATGAGGAGGGAAGCAAGGCCCTGGGCCATGGTGCTGCAGTGATCGAGACATGGGCAATGTGAGCAGACACTAGACTGCAACCATGCCCCAGATACACACACGCAGGCTCACCTGCCAGGATCTTCTGGAGGTGGCTCTTGCTGAACACAGAGCCACAGGGGTTCGACGGGTTGTTCACAATGAGGCAAGCTGTCTTCTCATCCACCAGAGACTCCAAGTGCTTCAGATCAATTTCCCAGGCCTTCTCTGGCTAGTGAAGTGAAGAGAAGGGGAAGTAACAGCTGAGGAACTGGACTTGCCACACAAGGTGAGGTGTGACAGGGTGCCCAGGGGTACTCAGGTCATCTTCACTCACTTCCCAGGCAGGGCCAAGGTATTTCTGAGAGGCAGAAATGTCAGGGCTGCCCCTTCCAGGCCTGCCACCACTTACCAAGAGGTTGTAGAGTTTGACCTCAATCCCCATAGACAATGCCAGAGTCTTGTAGAGGGAGAAGCCGGGCCGTGGCACCAGGATGTTCTGGCCTGGGTTGGCCAGCACTGCCAAGGCAAGCTCTATGGCCTGGCTGCAGCCACTTGTTAAGATGACGTCCTGCAAAGAGCACACAGGAGTCAGCGGAAAGCACAGCCACTCTGAAGCGCCCCAGCCATGTGGGAGTGACATAATGCCCAGGCTCTGCCAGGTGAGAGCTTCACAGCCAAAAAGACAAGTCCAAAGTCTGACTGAAAGCAGGAAACCTCTAACAGCTGGAGAGCTCAGCCTCCTCCTGAGGAGGGTGGAGGAGAAAGGCTCAGGGCAGGGGGTGAAAGCAGCAGGAGGCTGCTGTGGGACAAGGCCATGGGCTAGCCTTCAGTCCCATAGCTGGGCAGGGGAGGGAGAGAGCTGGGGCAGCTCGGCCCCCGTGCCCTGTGGTCTAGGCACAGGCAGCAACACCCTGCCTGCACTACTGTGAGAGTGCCTCAGCTGGGCACCAGTACCTGGGCTTCCAGTGGTGCCTCTGGGCAGTTGTAGTATGCGGCCACTGCTTCCCGGCAGGACTGGTAGCCTGGGGAAAGAGGAGCCAAACATGGAAGGGAGGTTTTTACAGACCGTTTCCTTTTTCTTGCTAGTACAAGGCTCACAGCTGCCGCCCAGCCAGGGGAAGCCCATTTGTTAGTGACACTGTCCCACGGTGGCAGAGACTGTCCTGCCTCAGGCCAAGCACCATGCAGCTCCGAGGCTGGGCCAGGCAGGCCAAGAGCAGGGACAGACCCTGGGCAGGGAGGCAGGCTCTGGCCCCAGCACGTCCTGCACACAGAACTGACAGGAGCAGGGTGGAGGGTAGCCAGGGAGCTGCTCAGACCCAGCAGGGGGCCAAATGCTATTACATGGCCTTCACTGTTTAGTGATGGCACAGGAGCAGCCCTCCCTGTCACCACATGGAGTGTCCTGTGAGGCAGGTGTGATCTATGCTCTATGCATGCTTTTTGCACTACCTGCAAACAAGGCTCATGTTGTCTGTGAAGTCAGGGAGCCCAAGGGGAGTCCTGGTCAAGGCAGATCAGAAAGGAACTTGGCTGCAACGCACGGCGGGGAGACACAGTCCTGAGCCCTTCTGGGTGCTTGAAACCCTGCCTGCTCTAATGGCTGGGGGAGCAAACACAGCTTCTGCAGGAGGCTCTGGGCCTCAAACAGATCATGCAGGGAAGGGCACTCAGGTGTATCTTGGGGATACACATGCTTGTGTGTTCATGGGACTATTGGTGAGGGCAGCCACAGAGTGCTACTGGAAAAAGTCTGTGCGCTCCATATACCTGCTGTGGGGTAGGAGCTGGCACATGCCTTCATCCTACTCTCACAGGAAGAGCTTTGTCAACTTACCAACAGACGGAGCATAACCGTTGTAACATCCTGAGTCCAAAACCTCCTTCACAGCCCGTGTGACCTCATCATTTGTGGGAAGGTTTCCAAAGACCGTCGGGTCTCCTTTTTGAAGATTGAAAAATAGTAAAGTTCTCATTGATCTGTGACAGGCACAGAGCTGTGTGGTTGTCTGGCCTATCCCTGGGTGTTCGCACAAGCTTTGTGCTTCAGAGCCCTGCAATCTGCCAGCCACACAGTCGACCCCATTGCCCGGAGGCTTCAGCCACAGCACTATGCTCACCTAAGGACAAGGAGATCATAGCTTTCTTTGGGTTGGGCTCCACCTTCATGCTGTCTACGATGGCTCGGACAGGATTGAAAGTCTTCTTTGACATTTCAGAAGCCCTGACAGCCCATCTTGGCTTCCGGCCCTTCACCTTCCCCAGTGATATGCTGTTCCCATTGGTCTTGAGATGAACATCCAGCATAGGGGCATGATCTCCATGGCCATTCACTTGGATCAGATACGAGTCCATCCTGAGAGCTGTCAGTGTGAAGTGGATTTCCTGGGCTTAGTTAATACATGCCAAACACGGGATCTGCCCGTTTGGGGACACCGCCCATGACTCTCCAAAAGTAAAACTTCTGAAAGCTGTAGACGCTACCTACTGCCTATGGACAACTCAGTCAGTAGCAGCAAGTAGGGCTGTATTCGGGGCCAAGATGGAGTGAAACCCCACATAAGTGAGAGCACAATGCAATGGGAAAGATAAAGGCACCTGTGCTAGCTGCACCACTGCCTAGCATGGAGTTGCAGTGCTGAGGGGGAGCAGGCTCCACTAAAGCCAACAGCCAAGAGTTAGCAGCAAGCTGTAGTCACTGCTTGACTGCAGATTCAATGTTCCACTGACCGAAGGGCCAGGTCACCCCTCCAGCTATCCACTTGCACACCTCAAGCTGCAACCACAAGGATCAGCCCGCTATCTATGTTCACATCCAGAATGTCCCCTCCAGTCTGCAGACATGCAGCGCTGTTTAAATCAAATCTCAGATGCTAAAAAGGTAGTTCTGGTCCAATGTTATCATGGGCAGTGCACTGGGCAGTGGCAGGGTATACGTTACAGACCCTTGCCTCTATCAGCAGAGCAACAGGGAGCAACAGCCCAGCCCAGAGACCCTAGATCAAAATGCAGTGCTTAGAAAATGGAGCAAGGCTGGTACAGCCAAGAGGGAAGCAGGGAGGTGACACTGCCCCAAGCAAAGAGCCTATAGTCCTGCCTGAGGCTGGGTAACAAGCAAGGCACAGCAGAGGAACAGCTGCCTTCTAGGCCCCAAAATGCACACAAAACTTACTTGTGGGACTTACACACCCCAGCATGTATTCCCAGGGCACAAGCCAGACCCAGCCAGCAAAAGCCTTACTTACTGTTGCTGACTCAGGGCTTTCCACCTGCAAAAGGTTAGGGACAGGGCACAGTGCAGGCAGAGACCTCCTGAGCCACCAAGCCCATTCTTGATGGCACACTATCTTGTAATCCTGCCACAAACTGCTTATGCTCTCTGTACTGCCCTATTTCTCTGCTCCACTGAAAGGCAACTCAGTGAACAGTGGCCATTTCCTGATGGTAGTTACTTAGCCCCATGTTCGCAGATATTCACAACACAGCTACCCCTTCCTTGCTACAGAGACTGAGCTGGAAGGGTTGTAGTGTTGCCTGGTTCAGGCAGGATTTGCCATCTGAACACATTTCTCACTGCTTCAGAGAAGTTTGCACCTAGAGATGCCCCATGTTGCTGCAGTTACTCTGCCAGCAGTGCCTCGTTAGCCTGTTTATAGCAACTCAGGCTGATCTAACAGGGTCACAAGCAAGGCTTCAGCTTCTCTGCTGCTAATACCTTCTGGGTCTCCTTTCTGCCAAAAGAAAGGCAGCTGAAGAAACATGCAGCAGGGCTGAATAAAAACTGAGCAGAGAAATGAGCCATATATCTCAGTTCAACAGCAGGGCTGAGTCCCAAATGCACAGTGCAGAGTCTATCCCAGCAGAGCCTTCACACCACCCTGCAACATGGTTCTCATGCAAAGGGGAGCTGCAGACAGGCACTATGGATGCCTTCTATGCAGGCAGCCAGGAAGACCTCCCCACTTCTCCCCCCTAAAAGAAGCAAGGTACCATAGTACTTTACCTTCTACAGCACGGAGCAGGAGACACCAACAAGCTTGGGGGTCCAGTCCCTACTTTTCATCCAGGACAATCCCCTTGAGAAGAAAGTCCTGCAAATTCTTGCCCATGAAATAAGCCCCAAAACTGGGCGTTGGGACTGAATTGTTTAGCCATTGGCTCACAGAGAGGGCTGCTCTCCCCACCCAAAAACGCCCTCTCCTCCCCATTGCAACTGTGTTCACTTCAAACACCTGGAACATGCCTGCACATTAACTCTTTCTGGGGTCAGCCTAGGGGGACAGGGACACAGCTTGGCTTCCTGGAGACCCTGGGCTGCCACCCTTTTGCACCACTTCCCTCAGTCCTCAAAGACTGCAGGGGACGAATCTGCACAGAGTCCAGGTATTCCAGCCCTAGCACCTTGTAAAGCACCAGGAGTGGATTGATGGACCTCAAAGCCTGTGGAAAGCATCAGTATGACCTCAAAGGCTCTGGGCTCCCAATGCACCAGCTGAGAAGGGACAGTTTGCAGCATCATTACAGACAGGAGGTATCTTCCTCCATAGGCTGAAGGGAGGCAGGCACTTCCCTAGCCGATGTCTTGGAGGCACCAAGACCTAAAGGGTTAAAGGAAGCTCAAGTTGCCATGGGTTTGGGGTTTTTTTTTTGGTTTTTTTTTTGTTTTTTTTTTTTTTTTTTTCTTTTTGGTTGCTGCAAGGCCCAAGCAAACTCGTAATTTTGGCAGCTAACAGAAATGACGCAATTCTTCCCTCTCTGATGGTACTGCAAAGCACAGATGACACCATTCCCAGGAGGCCCTTTTTGGCTAAGTGATGTGAAACCTATGCCTTCTTGTCCCTTGACACCTGCATCCTCCCCGTCTTCCAAGGGCTGCTCCAAGTCTTCCCTTACTGCCTTGGCAGCAAATGGCCAGAGATCAAAGAGTTGGTCAGGGACAAGAGGGATCCTGTTAATCTTCTTGCAAACAGACTGCTGATGCCTTCGTTGCAGAGGCCAGTGGTGACGGTGATTTTTGCCTGTTTACATTCGCTCCTGCGTGGGAGGAGGAAGAACCACTTGTGCTCAACCCATGCTCACTACACATGAAAGCAGCAATAAGGCTGCACCTCCCCAGGTAGTGCAGTGGTCCCTTCCCTCTGCATTGGGGCTGGGGTGACGCTGCTGGGGAGTCATGACCTGCCATTGACCACAGTGCTGCAATGGGCACTGCTGGGGCCGCAATGGGGGCCAGGGACTCGGGGTTGGAGGCAGGCTGGGAGGTGGTGGGGTGCAGCCAGTGGGTCCAGCCAGGGTCCCCAGCCCCAACCTGGCTGGCAGGCCGCCCACAACAGCCACGTCCCGGGGGCTTTGGACCGGGAATAGCACCTTTCAAAAACACTTCACAAAGAAATGTCTTGTATTGAAGCTGCTTGGACTCTCTTCTGCTGAGAGCTGCACAGTTCCAGACTATTTTCTCTCTTCTTTTTACTGAAGCCTGGCATGAGCGACCTTCAGAAGTTCATGCAGGCCCTCTCCAAGCACCTATGGGTTATTTTCTCGCTTCCCCCAGCTGGCCCCATCTCTTGCCATGCTGCAGCCCTGCCAGGGTTAAATGTGGCATTGGGAGGCCTCAAGGACAATGCTGCACATTCTGCCTAGCAACAACCCTGAAGCTGAGGCAACTGGAGCTCTACCTGTAATACTGCACACAGCAGTGGGGTTCAGGGGAGGGCATGGTGGAAGTCTGCTGCCAAGAGGGGGAAAAAATGTGGCTCTAGAGACATAGGTACACCCAGTTACGTAAGGCTGAGAACCTGGCCAGAAGCGGGGGGAGGACACTGGTGTACAACAGGGTCAGTGGGTTTCTCCTGCTATTACTATGCCTTTCTCCTCTCTCTGCATGACTCCAGTCCTTCTCTGGATGCTCTCACATGGGGTCTGCAGCCCCACCACCACCTTGTGCTGCACAGAGCCTCCCAGGGCTGAAGCATGAGCACACAGCTCAGCACTTCATATTCTACAAATATGGCCAAGCCACCCCTTGTATGGTGCGGTGAAAGAGGTGGCCATATGCTGCAGGATGCATTTCTGCCAGCAAGGCAGCTGGCTGTCTTGACTGTCAGGACCTCTGTACCCCACTAGCCCTGACTAGTTTCCCCCCCTGCAGTTTGCTGCTCTGTCTCAGCAGCTCTCCCCCACAGCCATCTTGTTGCATACCTCTTCAGCTCCCTCTTTCTTGTGTGGCTTGAGCAATTGATTTTTGTCTCTTCCCAGTGGGAGGAGAAACTGGTGATGGCTTCAACGTTTTTTTGGTACTGCCTTGCTCTGGTACCAGGACTGCCCAGAGTCCTGTTTCTGAGAACAGAGGCCAAGCCAGCAAGAGCAAGTAGTTCCCTCTTCCAGGACCAGCCACAGTTACAAAGCAGGACTGACAAATGGCTGCTTGGGTGGATGGAGCACAGGCTCAAGCATCACTGCACTGACAAACCTGTGTCTCTGTCAGGCTGCAGGTAGGATATGCACCAGTAGAGTTTTGCCCATGTGCCCTGCACCCCCATTCAGGGTGACTTGCTCCAGGGACAGACACCCAGCTGGTACTCTGCACAAAAATCCACCAGGGTCAATTACAAATCACTTTGCCTCCCCACATTCTACTTTTATTTTCAGCAATTTCGGTCTGCTCCTTTCTGACACTGGTACAGTCCCAACCAGTTCAGGGCTGGTATCCACAAATAGGCATGTAACCTAATCTCTGTTTGGTCTCTGCATTTCCAGTTGAATCAGCCGGATGATCAACTGCCAGAAAGATGGCACAATCAATACAGAATACACAATCAAAGCCAGTAACCAAGTGACTCAAAAATATACAGTAGCTATTTTATCTACCTGCCTGTACTTAGGATCAATTTTTATTTGATCGCAGAAATAAAAATCTGAGAGACATTAAAAGGCAAATTGCACTAGAGATGCCTCATTCTGGAAAAGTAGCCTGCGTACAGCAAGCGGTTCACGGGGTGCTCTTGCTACCTACGTGAGCCGGGCTTTGGAAAGGGGAGCACCGGCATCTGGGGCCTGTCTGATCTCTGCACTTCTTTTGAAAGTGGAACAAGGTGGCTCACACCATGCACAAATGCAGGGCGTTGCAGTAGGGACAGTGATACTCTCTCTTGGCTCCTGGTAGAGCTCTCTTCTGCAGGCCCTGGGCCAGGCTGAAAACAGCTGTGTTAATACACCTGCCTTAATGAGTGCTATCTCCTACAATTGCAATTTCCGTCTGTCGGGAAAACTAGGGAATGCAAAAAATCAAATGCTTTCATGACCATGGCATCTTGTGGGCCTCCCACAATACCAGTGTCTGCAAATGCAGTGCTGCAACCTGATACCAGCTGTCCTGGGCAACCCAGATTGCTCTCCCCAGCCATCTACCTTTGCAGCACTGGGGAGGGGAAGGAGTCCAGCAGCTGTGAGGGCCCTTGCACGCTCAGCCTGGACACCAAGTCTCTTGCAAGCATGCTGAGAGACACAGAGTGCACTCCAGGTTTGTGGAGAGTTGGAAGCACTGCTGAGCTACAGGCCCAACAGCCACAATGAAAGACTTGCAAGCCCTGTTACAGATGCTGAGAGGAACGCTCCACAAAGTGTGAGTGTTAGCGGCTCCTGGGTACAGGCACAGTGAAGAGAAACACTTTGTCTGGCCTTGTATTTTGCTTTCATCCAGGTAAACATTATGTAAGTGCATACCCTGTGTTTGAGTTATGACATCAGAGACTTGAGCTGTTGCTGCCCCCTTGATGGCCTTGAAGCCACAGGGACAGTGACCAACCAATGGGGATGGGATGGAAAAGGGCACAGTGGCTTTGCGAGGCAAGGTGACACCATGAGCTTGCAGTGAGTGGGGTGGGCAGCACCAGGCACCTCCTTCTCTCAGAGCACAGACAGGCCATCCCCTCTCATGCCTGAATTTGAGCCCCAGTGATGGAAGCCCACCATCTGCCCAACCAATCTGGTCCAGCAACAACTGCTCATCTCCTTACAAAGTGGTGGAGTCAGTGTGTGTGGGAGAAGTATTGTCTAAATCACATCCCTTTTGCTTCAAGCTAAGCTCACTGCTTCCTGACCGTAACAACAACAGGTAGGGAGAACAAAATATTCCCTTCCTCTTCACAGCAGCTTTTTACAAGTTTGCAACTTCTTAAGCCACCTCCCTATTAACAAGCTTGCAAGTTGTTAACAGACACCTGTTCTGTCAAATGAGAGGACTGGGATCAATCTTTTTCTCATAGGTTGTATTTCTAGAGCTTTCTGTTGCTTTCCTCTGGATCCCCTCCAGCTGATCCAGTGGCCTCTGGAAACACAGTGTGCAAGACTGGAGGCCTAACCAGTGCTGAAGGGGGGGCAGAAGAATTTCTTCACGTGTCCTACATGTGACGTTCCTGTTTATACACCCTTGCAATGTTAGTTTTTTTCGCAACAGGATGACATTGTGGACTTGAGTTCAGTTTGTCATTCACAATAACCTCCAGTTCTTTTCTGTAGCACTGCTGCATCGTCATCGTGCTGTGCTCATTGTTCCCATGATTATTTATTTATGTGGGACAGTCAATAAATCTGGCTGTGGTATTCAGCAGTGATTGTGCTGCAGCTCCCAGATGCCTCACGCTGGAGAAATATGAGGCAGTACATGACTTGCTCCTTCTGCTTCACCCTCCAAGTTCCCAGGGAGAGCACTGAACCAGGTCAGAGCTCTTGGCCCATGGCAAGCCAGGCCAGGCCCTTCCCTCCCCTTAGTGCAGTAATGACATCAGGAGCAGCCAGAAACAGAAGAGCCAAAAATAAAAAAAAAAAAAAAAGAGAAGCCAAAACAGACGTGAAGATTAATATTCGTCTCCTCAGCTTCCTGTTGCTCTCTTCTGCTGACTTCTACTTGTTGCAGTGAGAATAGGAACCCAGAAGACGACGCTGACCAAGCTCAGCTGTGGTACTTTGAGCAGGAGTGAAGTGATGCAAAGCTGTTTTTTAACAATTCTCGATATAGCAACAGAAATGGAATAAGATTGACTCAGTTCTACAATGCCTTG